GTAAATCTTTACGGGAGTAGAAGGCCTCATCTTTCTCCCGCGGAGCGGCTGGTAGTTTCGAACTGCTGACCTTAAGGTTCGCAGCCCGATTCGTAACCACTACGCTACCAGAGCTCCTTGGGATGATACAAACAAACAAGCTAAACACTCCAACTCATACTGACACTATATAGGATTTCTGAGACTGTAAATCTTTAGAGGAGCAGACAGTTTCATTTTCTCCTATGTGAAGACTGATGGGTTTGAACCATGAATCTTGCAGTTCAACTCCTAACCCATAGCACCTCCAGGGTTCCTATAACATAATGGTGGTGGTGGTGGTGGTGTTCCATTGAGTCAATTCAGAGTCATACTCATTCTATATAGGGTTTCTAAGGCTATAAGTATTTAGGGGAGCAGAAAGCCTCAAATCTCTCCTGCAGAGCAGCTGGTGGATTCAAATAGTTGATTCTTTGGTTAGCAGCCCTACATGAAAAACTACACTACCAGGGTGTCTTTATTCTATGATTATTATTGTTGTTACATGTTTTGGATTTAGTTTGAACTCATAGTGATCCTAGATAGGGTTTCCAAGACTTTAAATTTCTGTGGTAGCAGAAAACCTCATCTTTCTCCTAAGGGCTGGTTGGTGGGTTCGACCTGCTGACCTTGTAGATTGCAGCCCAGTGTTTATTGTATGGAGCCATCACACCCACTTATAGTATTATGATATTGTCTTATCATTGTTAGATATCACTGAATCTATTCCAACTAATAGCACCCCCATAGAGGGTTTCTGGGGAGCAGCTGGTAGACTTTGTGGTTCACAGTACATTACTGATCCTACAGTAGCACACTACAGGAGTCTCATTGCATGCTATAGGAGGATAAAATAAACTAGAAAGAAATATTGCAGGCTGAAACAAGCAAACAAAAATCCTCTTTAGTTTTCTGCTAAGGCAATAAGTTCTTAATATTTTAGGGAGCTCTGGTAGCGTCGTGATTACGAATCGGGCTGTGAATCTTAAGGTCAGCGGTTCGAAACTACCAGCTGCTCCGCGGGAGAAAGATGAGGTTTTCTACTCCCGTAAAGATTTACACCCTCGGAAACCCTGTACAGGGTCGCTATGGGTTGGAACCGACTCGACGGCACTTAACAACAACAACAACATATTCCTTTTTTAACCATAATTTCTAAATGTCTTTATTAAATTTTAATAAATGAATATTATTCAAAATAAAGTTTTATCTAAGAGCTCCAATTTATAAGTAAAGGTATATCACACAATAGCGTTTAAAAGTCGTAACAATGTTTGTGAAGTGAATGAATCCTTACACTAAATATGGAGTATGGAATGACATCGAGCTTTAGTGATGGAGGAGAGCTTGATGATTTTCCACAGTAAAAAACATTTTAAAATAGGAGGGACACTGGATATTTGCCTACCATTTAATATTAATGCTACAATCTTTTTCTTATAAAAGAGCTCATCTGAGTTGCCTAACTTACAAAATACATTTTAAATTTCCAAATGTTTGGCAACATTTGAAAAATATGGGCCCAACGTAAACAACAGGAAGTCATACTTGTATGTATGTATCTTTGAGTTTTTTTAATCTGAGAAAAAGATTATTTTTTTAAAGCAGCTTTAGTATCCAAAGAACAAAATTCACAAAAGAAAAACTGAAAAAGTAAATAAGTTTTCCTAACCATATAGGAAATTGATTCCTATTTCACATTAAGGTTGAAATGCAACAGGAGAAATTCCATATATGTTCCACAGACAAAAACATATAGCATTGTTGTTAGTTCTACTTTGAAATGGAACAGTTTTCCTCTTATTATTGTATGATCTCTCTTTTCTACCCCCTCCTAAATCTCTTTCCTTTATTATCTCTGTCTCCTTCTAAGTGCATGTGTATGGGTGGATACTGGGGACACATATTAAGCATTTGCTTCAAAAGACGTATGTATGTTCTTCTCAGAAGGAATATGGATATTACTCAATAAAAATTACAAACATAATTTATTTTGGGGAAAGTGCATCATTTGAATAGCTACTTATTTTAGATCAAATAAATTCAATTCATATAATTTAAGGACTTGACCCATTGTATATAAAAATAGATATTTGATGAAAAGTAGTTTTGGAGATAGAACTAATTATTAGGCTTTCATGTTACAAGTGGATGTGTGTGTTTGTGTGTGTATGTGTGTGTATGTGTAAAGTCAGTACACTTACCTACTTTTCCATCAAAAGGCTTTATTTGTACATTTAAAGTTAATATTATCATATTTTTAGTATGCAGCAATAATTACATTTTATTTGAATTCTGTTTGTACTAATCTTTGAGCAAAATAACAAAGAAAAGTAAAATTTCATATGTCTTTTATTTCATGTAATATAATAAAGTATATTGCACCTTTTGCTTCATTTTGATGATATTTGTCCTCAAATTTTTATATAAATAGTTATGAGTAAGACTTTAAACTCTTCATGCTTGTAGGTTTAGTTCAATTAAAGCCTGTTCAGTTATACTAAAATAAGCAATGCACTTTTTATGAAATTCTTATTTATGACATCAGCAAACTTATAAAATTACCTATCTTGTTCATCATATAAGTACTTGGCATGATTTTTTTAAAATTCACATTCATGGGATAACATAATGTTTTTTTCTTGGACTGGGGAAGAAAAATTATAATAAAAGTTAAGTCAGAATTTACAACTCAATTCACTGTCAGGAATAATAAATCCCCAAGGAAAACAGATAACCTAATAATATATCTTTATTAGTGAAGGAAATAATGTTAAACATGATCTTGCTAAAACTGAATAATACATATTAAGCAAATCTCCATGAATTTTAAAGTTTAATGGTTAAGTTTAACACATATTGTTGTTGTTAAGTACCAATGGAGTCGGTTCCTACTCATAGCCACCCTGCACAGGGTTTCCGAAGCTGTAAATCTGTATGGAAGCAGAAAGCCTCATCTTTCTCCCGTGGAACAGCTGGTAGTTTCGAACTGCTGACCTAGAGGTTAGCAGCCCAATTCATAACCACTTTGCTACACAGAATAACACATATTAACATAGCCAAAATGACTATGGGAAATTCACTGCAAACAACACGCTAAAATTAAAATTTAAGCAAAATTTTCTGTAATGCTTTTTCTACCTCTTCATGATCTACTTTGTTGCTGTTGTTGTTATGAAGTGCTGTCGAGTCGGTTGCGACCCATAGCGACGCTGTATAGAGTTTCCGAGGAGCAGCTTGTGAGCTTGAACTGCCGACCTTGCAGTTCAAACGGCTTTGCAGTCTGGTGCATTAACCGACAGCACCACACCAGAACTCCTTATGATCTACTAACGCTTAATAATTACTTAGGGTGCTTTTTATGCACCTCAACTACAATGTAATTCTTTCTTTTGCCCTTAAGAATAACTTAAATTTCTTTAAGACTGCTCTTCTTCAAGTAAAAATACGTATTTATAAGTTAATACCAGAAACTACTTACATGGCTGAATATTGTTGTTGTTGTTGTTGTTGTTAAGTGCCATCGAGTCGGGTCCGACCCATAGCGACCCTGTACAGGGTTTCCAAGAGTGTTGTAAATCTTTACGGGAGTAGAAAGCCTCATCTTTCTCCCGCGGAGCGACTGGTGGTTTCGAACCGCTGACCTTAAGGTTCGCAGCCCGATTCGTAACCACTACGCTACCAGAGCTCCTTATATAAAGACCTATAATTCTGTCCAGCTGTAGAATGTCTCTTTTAGAACATTCTGTTTTATAATAAGTAGCTGCACTCAGTGGATCACATTGTTGCTGTTTTTAAGTGCAACAGAGTTGATTCTAACTCGTGTTGTTGTTGTTGTTAAGTGCCGTCGAGCCGGTTCCAACCCATAGCGACCCTGTACAGGGTTTCTGAGGGTGTAAATCTTTACGGGAGTAGAAAGCCTCATCTTTCTCCCTCGGAGCGGCTGGCAGTTTCGAACCGCTGACCTTAAGATTCGCAGCCTGATTCGTAACCACTATGCTACCAGAGCTCCTTCATAGCGATCTTATATAGGGTATTGAGGAGTAACTGGTAGGTTTGAACTGCCAAACTTGTGGTTCAAACCAACTATGTGATCCAATGCCACACCATGACATGTTATTGTTGTTAAGTGCCATCATATCAGTTCCAACTCATAGTGAACCCATATAGAGTTTTCAAGGAGCGAATGGTGAAGTTTGAACTGCTCATCTTTGGGTTCAACCCAATTTTACAGACCAGTACATTATTCTGAAGTGCCACATCATGACATAGTGCATAGTGTCATATATATATACTACATACATTCACAGAGAGATGGAGAATTAGATAGTGAATAAGAGTGAGTACTGGTGTGCTGGACCACTTTGAACCACAAGATCGGTGGTTCAAGCTCACCAGTCACTCCTAGGAAACCCTATACTTGGTCGCTATGGATCAGACTGACTGGACAGCACTTAAGAACAACAACAAATTATATATGTGTGTGTGTGTGCGTGTATAAGATTTCTGCATGATGAATAATTTATAATGATCCCTGGATTAAGTAAATTATAAAACAAATTCAGCACTGTAGGGATTTTGATCTGGTTGCAGAGGCATGACAACTCAGGAACATTAAATTAGATCCCATCCCATAAAAAGTAAAGGTTACCACTGCATCTTGAAAATATTCTTTGCATTTTGTCAAAATGAAATAAAAACTGTATTCCATGTTTACATTTAAGATGTGTTCAACTTTGGAGAGTTTCCATATATTTTTACCTATATTCTGGAATATTTTTGATAACAGTACTAAGTGACACTAAAAACAAAACAAAAGTTGCAAGTTGTCTTATTCTATTCCTATAAAGATAATTCATGTTAATTTAAATGAGAAAATTCTTATAAGTAAAATTGGTTCTCAGTTTGTCTTCCCTTTTTAAAAGCCCTATAAAACTTCATTTAATGTGTTTTCCAGGCCATAACAAAGAAGCATACTGTACCTCTTCTGCTGCTGGTTGTTGCAGATGTGGTTGGACTGGTTGTTATGGCTACAGAGGTTGTGACTGTTGCAGTGGTAAGGGAGGGGATGATAGTAGTGGGAAGCAAAGTGTTGGGAACATCTGGTGAGTGGAAAAAAACAAAATATAAAACAAAATCGTACCATGCAAACAAAAGAAAAACACGAATGAGTCAAACTGTAAATACATGTATCTTATTTAGATTTAATCTTTATAGGCTTTAACCAATTAATAGGTACAATACTGACTGTACCACCTGTTCCTGTCATTTTTTGTTTTCACTTCTCTTTTATGCTCCAACACAAAGCAAAGAGAAAGGTGGAGCAGTCTTTGCATATAAGCAGGTTCTTTATAATATTCACAGTGAAACTTAAAATGACAAGAATCCATTAACTCATTGATCCATTTAAAATATTTTACATGCAGTAGCAAATAAAGGTAGATAAAACAACAACAAAAAGACATGCTTTGTGAGAGAAGGAAAGAAAGAATTACACATACAGAAACAAACACAAATAACACCACTATATAAGATTAAAGGAATGTTAACAATGAATGACAATATGAATGTTAAATGCCTTTTCTTTTCCTTTTATAAAAACTTAAGGATAGGAAATAAGATAAAAATAATACTTAAAAACAAAAAGAAGCCCATTATTATTGCTACTATTATTATTTGTGCCTTCATTTCTTACAAATGATGTTAATACATAATTTAGAATCTTGTAATTCTTACCCTTATTAACTGGCAATGCCTTCTACTAATTTTGCAGTACCTAGGAGTCTTTAACAAGTTTTGAGTCAATTAGCATGACACCTAAGTATTCTGAAAGTCACAATTCATTTTAATATGGTTAAACTAGAAAGTTTATTGAGCATAAACTTGAACCATAATATTCAACTTCTAATCCATGATTAGATAAAGTTGCTGAAAGTTTACAGTAGATATAAATACAGTAGATGTAAGTACAGAGGAAAAATAAACAGAAAGAACAGCTTAGCATTTTAATGCTGAAACTTGCCTTTTACCCAGAACCAGCTGAAAATCTGAAGAGCAGCCCAGAGAACAATGAAACAATACAGCCAGTGTCAAGCTATCAGAACCTCAGAGTCAAATCTTGTCTCAAATGGATAGGCATATAATTTACACAGTGAGGAAATTAGAAACGGTTCACAAATTATGTATAATTACTGTGCTGGGTTTTGCTTTCACGTGTTTACAACACAATCCCTATATATTCAGACTATTTGATGGATTATATTGCTATTAAAAGGTTTCCTGTCATTCTCTCAGTGAAAGTCTTTGAGTCACACCAAAAATTTTCTACTTCTTTACGTCTGATAAATAGCCCCACTCAATCTGCAGACTTTACCTGCTGAATTCTCTACACTGAAGACATCAAAAAACAGCATGGGATCACTCTCTTATCTTGAGTATTGATGTTTACACCTGTTTTTCAATGAGGAAAATGCTTCCTGGCCAGTCAATTTAAGAAAACAACCTTCTGAAAATTCAATGGTGCTGCATTAATCATTGGGGGAAATGATTATTACCTGGAGCTTGTTGCCATAATCATAAAATAGACACGACTTGAACAACATTGTAAGAAAATAAATATTATTTACCTGTATATCTATGCTTTCTGTTTGTAATTTATATAATGATTTCTTATTTTCTGATGTTGTTCTTGCTGTTACGTGCCATTGAGTCAGTTCTGACTCTTAGTGACCATGTATAAGGTTTCAGAGGAGAGGCTGGTGCCTTTGAACTGCTGACCTTGCAGTTCAAACTGTTTTGGAGGAAGTGCAGCCAGAGTGCTCCTTGGAGGCCAGGATGGCTAAACTTCGTCTCTCCTACTTTGGACATATTGTCCGGAGGAAACA